AGAAAGGGAACCTTCAAGAAAGGCCAGCAAACCACCAGGAACAATGCAGCTCTGATCCCCTGGACAAATGGCCTTCTGGATACCTATCTCACATGCAACCTTGCTGTAGGTCAGAATGAAGTAAGACAACTAACCGACCTTCAGAGCTCACCTGTCCAGGGTGGTGAGGACCCAGGTTCACTTCCCAGCACCCACATGGCAGCTTACAACTGTCTATAACTCAAGTTCTAGGAGATCTGACACCCTCACACCCGTGCTCATAAAATAAAATAAATTATATTAAAAAATTTAGCAAAGGGAAGTGGTGACCACCATGTCACATGGCCATGTCTTTGTAGACTTATCACCTACCCATGAGAAAACTAAATACCATACACATTCCCAGGAACTGGTATGCACAGCAGGCACACACCCAAGTACACAGACACACACATGTATACACTCATGTAAGCATGTTCGAAAACACACACACACACACACACATGCACACACACATACACACCTATCTTCCCCCAGCACATACTCAGGTTCTTTAGCAAGACCATCCTACCTGGGTCATGGCTGAGAGAATAAAAGGGACAAGAAACCTGTCACTCACAAGAACTGCCACTATAGCTAAGTTATGGCGGTACATCTTTAATCCCAGCACTAGTGAGGAAGAGGCAGGTAGATCTCTGTGAGTTCAAGGCCAGTTTAGTGTAGAGAGTGAGTTTCAGGACAGCCAGGAGTAAACTACACAGAGAACCCTGTCTTAAAAAGGAAAAGAAAAAAGAAAGAACTGTCACTAACCAACAGAGGCTCTTGGAGCTGGACAAGGAACTGTGTCTTACAGTGACAAATCTAAGGGATCCAAAGTTACCCACCTTCAGGCTTCTACTAGCTCTCAGCAGACAGGATGCTTTCTAGTCAGAAGCAGGCTGTCACAAGGCCTGAACTCCAGAAAGGGGTACCGGGTTCACATTTTGCTGACCCAGTTTACCTGGGAATGTCAGGTGACCCCAGAAGTAATGGGAAGCAAGAGGAACAAACTGTTTGCTGTTGAGCTGTCGACCTCCAGCAGCTTTCGAGGTCCAAGCATCACACTACCCTGCCAGGATACTCATTAACTCCAGTGATGACATGGAAAGGGGAACCTGCCAAGACCCAGAGGCCGGCAAGAAACACACACACACACACACACACACACTGTCTATCTCTCTCTCTTCCACATGGGACATACAGATCTGACACACTGATCCAGCCAAAGGCTTCTCTAGGTCTTCTACCAAAGCAACAGAATCGAACGAAGTCTTGTTGACCCTAAGCCCCTGGGTCATTGTTTGATTTTACAGACAATTTCAAGTGTTCAGAAGAGCCAGGGAGCTTCAAGAATGAAACCCACAGAAGACTCAACACTTCGTTTCCCTCGTTGTAACCTTGGGGTCCTTTCACCTGCCTGTTCCCAGTGTAGGGACTCACAAAGAGATGGTCAGAAGGCAAGGAGCAAGCCTACAGAAGACAAGGCCAGACCCCAAAGACACAGCACACCAAGTCAACCAGATCCAACTGCCCACATCCAACTTTTTGGCAGAAGCCACTGCACAAATCTGAGAGCACCCAGGACCCGGGGGGACCACTCATCTCGGACAACAATCGCGTTTGCCAAATCCTGGAAAGCCATGGGACAGACAAGGAGTCAAAGTCTTTTAAGAGAACACCACAGAAGACCGGGGAAGACATTATTTCTCTAACCAGGTCTACACTCTCAGGCCTTGCGTTCACTCTTCTTCGTCCACCGGGGCCCAAGTCAAGTAAGTGTCTGTGGTTCGGAGAAGCCTCTGCTTCTCCAGTTGGTACATCTTCATGAAGAAGAAAAAGGAAACCCAGAGAGGATTTCCACAGCCAGGGGTAAGAAGGCCCAGAGGATGGGAAACTTTGAGCAGCCACACTAACCAAAAGACCACAAACAGGAATAGTCAGGCATGCCAGTGCCACTTGCCCTGTCAACTGGGCAATGATCTGGCAGCCAGCTATAAGGGACAAGGGGAATAGCCATGCAACAAGCAGGTTGAGGTTAGAAGGGGCATCGTCGCAACACCCAGGCCTTCCCTCAGAGCTCTGGGGACTGCACAGAGCAACCATTCGGACGCAGGAAGCCAGAGGGGCTGGAGCGAAGGGGAACGCGGCGACGGCATAGCACGGGGACACCAGGCCTCGCGTGGCGAACCGGGAGTGCACGCCCGGCCGGACAGCGTGCACGGGTGGGCGGGCATGCAAGTGGCTCAGCGGAGGGGTTGCAGGCGTCACCCGCGGGGCGAGCGTGGCGAGGCCCGGGGGAGTAGGGGCGCGCATGGGGAAGCTGGTTACCGTGTGATTCACCCCCCACATCAGGACGCTGAGGATCGGCTCGCTGGCCCGGAATAGCTTCACTTTCTGGCACACGAAATGCTTCTTCTTGGTCTTGGTTTTGCTGGCGCTGAGCGGCGCCACCGCCACCGCCGTGGTGCTTGTGCAGTTGGACGACATGCCCGGGGCGGCGGCGGCGGCGGCGGCGGCGGCGAAAAGGGGGGTGGCGGAGACAGCGCACCAGCGAGCGGCCCCAGGCCTCCCCCGAACCGATCCCCACCCCCGCTGCCTCACGGAGCCATGGTCGCGCCCGTCCCGTTACCTCCCCACCCCGCCCCGGTGGTTCCGTCCGCCCCACGCCCCGCCCTCGCCGCCCCGCCCCGCCCCGCCCCGGGGAGCGGGCCAGCCCGCTCTTCACCCCGCCCCCGGGGGCACCGCCCACCTACTCCCGGGCCCCCCCTCCCCGTCGGAATGGTACCGCCCATCCCGGGGAGCCTGCGGCCACCCCGCCCACCCCTCCTGCCCGGGCCTGCCAGGAACCCAGCCGTGTTCACGAGCGCGGGAGAGGAAGGGAGGAATGGACAGTCTTGAGGCACTCCATAAGAAAGACTCCTTGCTCGGGCTCTCTCAAAGCCGGGGTTTGGCTTTGCCTCAACCTGAGGTACCAAGATGGCGGCACCTCCACAGCTTTGGGAGGGGTGGAGGGGCCGGCATGCGAGGAGACTGGGACATACCATCTCCACCCCGGGGGAGAGAGGAATAACGCGGCCAGGGGAAAGGAAGTCCTGCCTGGAAAGCCAGGGACCGCCCCCTCGCTCCACCCAAGCGTGGATCAACCCACTCCCCTGGGCCGACGGCGCGCCCCACCCCCGGACACGCCCCCTTTCCCCGAGGCCAATCAGAGAAGCAGGCCGGGAATCATAGGTTTTATGAATGGGCCGCGCGCCCACCCACCTGCTGCCTAGCCTTCTATAAACTGAGGGTCAAGTTTAGAGACCGCTAGCACCTGCGGACGCCTATCCTAATCTCAATTCTTGCTCCAAGAAATCTGAGTAAAGTACCCAAGGTTTATTACGTAATTCTTGGATGAAGGATCTCTGTGTACCACACAAATCACAGGTCAGCATTTGTGCAGTGATATGAAAACAGTACTGCGCAGGTGGTCGGTGGCTCTTTACAGATACAAAAATAAATGTAGCCTTTATTACCAAGTAATAAATAAAAACCATAATTACTCATAGCATACCCAAGGCGGCAGGATGAAGTAATTAAATGAATAATGATACATTCTCCGGGGGAAAACTGGATACGCCTTTAATCCCAGCACTTGGGAGGCAGAAGCAGGCGGATCTCTGTGAGTTCGAGGCCAGCCTGGTCTACAAGAGCTAGTTCCAGGACAGCCTCCAAAGCCACAGAGAAACCCTGTCTCGAAAAACCAAAAAAAAAAAAAAAAAAAAAAAAAGAAAGAAAAAAAAAAAGAAAAAAGAATTACAGTGCCTGGCATTTTAGTGCTTAAAGAATAAAAACCCAAATACGTTTTAGGCTGAATTAGGGACTGATAGAAGAAGGGAATGGATTAACTAATGTGTGTGTTAAAGAGGGCCTCTGTGGGTCACAAGGTCTGTAATCATAGCTCCAGAGGTTGGGACAGGAGGATCTATAGCTCAAGGTCAGCCTGGGCTAGGATAAATCTGTTTTTGATTTGTTTTTTAAAAAAGAGGGAATCTAGAAGTTTCCTGGCCAAACAGGGCTTCTGGTGAAAGGACAGAAAAAGGAATGGCAGTAAAGGCACAGGAGTCTTGTCTTAAATTTCGGGGTGAGGGGATGGTGCCTGGCCTGGTCTACAAATCCAATTCCAGGACAGGTTCCAAAGCTACACAAAAACAAACAAACCAAAGCCAGGCATTGGTGGCACATGCCTTTAATCCCAGCACTCGGAAGACAGAGGCAGGTGGATCTCTGTGAGTTCAAGGCCTGCATGGTCTACAGAGGAGTTCCAGGACAGCCTCCAAAGCAATACAGAGAAACCCTGTCTCAAAAAACCAAAAAAAAAAAAAAAAAAAAAAAAATCCCCGATTTTGTTTTTTAATTACAGGATAAGAGAGAAGCTAGGAAGTTAGACTTGTGGTTCATGCCACCACCAGGCCCCTGTCTCTAAAGACTAACAACGAAGTGGCCAGAGCAGCAGCAACCAGCTTCATGCAGTGCTATCTACAATCCCTGCACTTGGGAGGTAAAGGCTGGTCTGAAGTTCACAGCTAACCAGAGCTACAAGAGACCCTGCCCCAAAAAGCCAACAAAAAAATAGCCAGGAAATAAATAGCTTCCACATATTTTCTTTTAGGCCATAAGATTACTAGCAACACGGCCCTGTTTCCTGTACCACTGGGCGGCCCACTACGACCCTAAAGAGTAACAGGGACACACACTTGGCAGGCGCCCTTTCTGAAGCCAGTACGCAGCTATGAATGCAAACTAACACAGCTATAGAGGACAAAGTCATGACCAAATGTCAGAAGGCTAGCTACCCCAGCTAGATTCTGTCAGTAACCCCAAAGCCCCTCCCAAACCAGGAGGGAGAAAAGCAAGTCATGCCCCCACCATACTGATTCCTGACAAGGTTTGGTGTGGCTTTACCCATAGTAAAATCATCAGACAAAACGTTCTCACAAAGCTAGCTTTTTAAAAGTATATATAAAATTATACATTTGTACATATACACATTCTACTATTACATCTCAAAGACTGAATAGTTAACAGTTCATTTAGGGCTTTTTTTGGTACTGTTTTATCTTCCAGTTTTTTGTCACTCCCTTGGCTCTTCCTGACACCTCGCTATTCTGTCACAAAGTTTACTAAATAAAGTCAATGTTCATTTGTCCCAGTAAGCAGAGTCTGTCTGAGTGGCTGTGGGGAGAGGTGTCTGGAAGGTCTGTTCCATTCATTCAGATGGGAGGGAAAACTTGTGACAAGCTACCAAGCCTTCCAGGACAGCACAGTGCCCATCCATTAAAACACAATCAAATCCCACCAGGCGTTGGTGCCACACGCCTTTAATCCCAGCACTCGGGAGGCAGAGGCAGGCGGATCTCTGTGAGTTCGAGGCCGGGCTAGACCGACAGCCTCCAAAACAATACAGAGAAACCCTATCTCATAAAACAAAACAAAACAAAAAACAAAACAAAACAAAACAAAACAAAAAAAACACAATCAAATCCTACAGTGCATCCAGCCAAAGTTCCTGAGTGTCCCCAATCAAGTCCCATTGGTTTTTAAAGAATGTACCATGTTTCAGGAGTCAATGGACAAGGGGCACTTTGAACAGTGGTGGTTTTTCATCTGTAGAAGAAGCCATTCAACTCTTATAAAGAGAATTCTAAGGAGTCAGCAGCCTCCCTGTAGAACTCAGGGAAACCAGTAAGAGAGACTGTTTTTCATCTTTTCATAAAGTTCTTCTCCAGAGCTACTGATGTTCGTTGTAGAGAATGGATGTTGCGTTTCACCCGGTCCTCCAGGGAGGAAGTAGATGCGCTCTCCAGCTTCATGCGACTAGAGAAAACAGAAGAAAGCAACTGTTAGACACACAAGCTCTTTTCAGCCCACACAGATGATTTTCAAATGACTCCATCTGGAACCAGGGTTTTTAAATGTCCATAAGGGAAAACTCATCTGTTTTTGGAAAACAAGTCAAGTCTCATTAGAAAAAGGTTTTCTGAGCCATACATTTTTACTTAAAAGGAAGGCCAAAATTCTCAGTGATTCGGGAAAAATACCAATCTCTTCTTCTTATTCAAATAAAAACTCTCCCACTGTCTGGCTAGAGACTGGGAACTGAGTTCCAAGTGGTCTCTGGACAAAGCTGAGAAACACCACCAAGCCCCAGCAGTGGGCCTGCTGCCACATGGCCTCCAGGAGCCCATGCAGGAAGCCCAGGCATGAACAAGCACTTACTGGATGAACTTGCCAGAGCGAGAGTCCAGCCTCTCCAGCCTGCGCTCCCGTTCATCTTCCTTGGCGTGCCTCTTGAGGGTGTTGAGCCTCTCCTCCTCCCTCCACTTGGCGTTTTCCATCATCTCCTGCCGTTTCCGCTCTAGCTCCTCTGCTGAGAGTTTTCTGTGGAGCACAGACACTGTTCATTTGGTTCTACCCCTTCCCCAGCAAAACAAAACAAGCAGCGAAGCATGGAGGCAGGTCCACAGGCTCACCAGCTCGTGGTTTTCCAAGAAATAAGAGGAACAGTACCATGCTAGGATGAGTTTCCTTCCTTCTGACGTCTCAGTCAGGTGGTTCCCAACAATCATGAACTTTCAGGGAAGGATTTCATAACTGTACTCAGTAATCTTGAGGATAATTATTTTTAAACGAATATGAAATAGAGACTGAGAGCTAACCGGAATCTAACCTTACAGCAAGTATGCCTTCACTAACAACTTACAGAACAAAGGACTGGGCCATCCATGTGATTGTTGCTACCTCTTACACCACAAGGGATATTTAAAAACCCACGGGTTGCCGGGAGTTGGTGGCTCACACCTTTAATCCCAGCACTTGGGAGGCAGAGGCAGGCGGATCTCTGTGAATTCGAGGCCAGTCTAGTCTACAAAGCGAGTTCCAGGACAGCCTCCAAGACAATACAGAGAAACCCTGCCTCAAAAACAAAAACAAAAAACCCCATGGGTTAGGAAAGGAAAGAAGGAAATGAGTGAGTCAGTGGTTGGGAGCACAGACTGCTCTTCCAGAGGACCTAGTGTCAAGTCCCAGCACCCACATGGCAGCTCATGACTATCTGTAACTCCAGTTCCAGGGGATCTGACACTCTCAACACAGGCATACATGAAGGCCAAAAAAAAAAAAAAAAAAAAAAAAAAAAAAATGGATATGGGAATTAAGGAGCTGGCTCAGTGGGTAAGAACACTTGCAGTGCAAGAATGAGGTCCTGAGTTCAAATTCATAGCACCATAGCTGGACATAACTATACATGCCTGTAACCCTGGCATTAAATGGCAAGATAGGCAAATCCCAGGAACTGAGCTTAGCCATGTTCAGTGAGAGACCTGGCTCAGGGACTAAGATAGAATGCTGTGGCTTATTTAACTATGTAAAGATGTGTTACATTTTTTTAACTATGTAAAGATATATTGCATTTATTTACCTTGCAGAATATATGTTTAACTATATAAAGATGTATTACATTTGTTTAATTATGTTGCTGTTTTACCTTATCTGCCTAAGACACCTAATGAAAAGCTGAATAGCTAATAGCAAGGGAAGAGGTATAGGCTGAACTGAATAAGTGGGAGGAAGAATTTAGGCTGGGAAAAAAAAAAAAGAAATGCTAGGGAATGCCAGGGGCCAGCCAACCAGACATAGAAGAACCTGGAAACTAAAAGATACAAAATGAAAGACAGGTAAAAAAACCCCAAGGCATAATGTAGATGAATACAAACAAGTTAAATTCAGCTAAAAGAGCTAGAGGAACAAGCCTAAGCTAAGGTCAAACATTCATAACTAATAATAAGTCTCCGTGTCTTATTTGGGGGCTGGCTGGTGGCCCAAAGAAAGAGTCCGATGTCCTCCCCTGATCTCCCCATGTTCAAATAGAGGTGTACATAACACACATTCACGGATACAACCCAAGAATATACCACTTTGGTATGAAGCTAAATGCCAGCACCCTGACTTAACAACCGACCTCAGAATATAACAGGTAGGGCTTCTTCCCTTGCATTCACCCTAAATGAAGTTAGAACAAAAAAGGAAGTGATGAAGCAGATTAGTCACCACTTAACGAAGTCAGACATCCCAATCTATTGCTTCTAAAATGGGTGTTACAGTTTGCACATAGTTTGTGATACACAGATTTCTTTTTCAAGGGAAAAATGACAGAGTTCTATTTTTTAAAAAAGTGCCCATTTGGAGAAACAAACTAAAATATGAAAACCTGACATTTAGTTATCCATGGTAACTAAACTTTCTATCAAAAACACTAAGCTGGCTAGCCAGGCATGGTGGCCCACACTGTGAGTTCAAGGCCAGCCTGATCTATAGAGTGAGTGCCAGGACTGCCACAGCTACTCAGCAATGAAAAAAGACAAACAAAAAGCACCATGTAAACATTTTTGAGACAGGGTCTCACACAAATTCATGTCACTATGGTCACAAAATTTGTAAAATGAGGCAAGAGGGTGATGAATTTGTGTGAGACCCTGTCTCAAAAATGACCAACAATATCAACAAAACCCCACCAAAACACAACCCCATTAAATATATAAAACTGATCACTGTGGTGACACACATACACCTATGAGCCTACTATTTTACAGGCTGAGGCAGAAGGACTGTAGAGAATCCCAGGCCAGCCTGGGCTACAGAGGACACTTTATGGAAAGCCTGTGTGAGTACATGTGTTTGTGTACATGTGAAAGATTGAAATCAAAGTCAGATGTCATTTTTCAATCTGTTCTCTACCATATTTTTTGAGAAAGGGTCTCTCACTGAACTTGGAGCTCACCAATTCAGCTAGTAGAATGGTTAACCAACAAGCCTATACTTCTGCAGCAAGCCCTTTATACTGAGTGAGCCATCTCTCTGACCCTATTCTTGTGTACAATCTTATTAAATGTATTTGTGTGGGTGGGTGCACCATGATGACATGTGGAGGTCAAAGGACAACCTATTATCTTTTTCCTCTATATGTGTCATGGTGATTGAACCCAGATGTCAGCCTTGGTAGCAAGGCTTTACCACTAAGCCAGCCAGACTCTGTTCTTTCAATGTGTCTTACTAGGTAAAGAGGTTGGGGGCAGATGACTCAAAGGGGTGTGGCCATGGTGGTACATACCTATAACCATATCACTTGAGAAGCTGAGGTAGGAGAACCACAAGCATCAAAATAAATAAAGAAAGAAATAAAACAAAATAAAAAAATTTAAAAATGGTGGCACATGCCTTTATTCCCAGCACTTGGGAGGCAGAGGTAGGCAGATATCTGTGAGTTCAAGGCCAGCCTGGTCTACAGATCAAGTTCTAGGACAGTCAGGTCTATAGAGAAAACCTGTCTCAGAAAAAAAAAGGGGGGAGGGGTCAAGAAACATTTCTCAGAATAATAAAGTCAGTTTTGCAAGGAGGTCAGACATTATCCATTGGCTGGGCTGTGAGCTGCTTCTGATGCAGCCTTATGAACCTTGACTTACCTGGTGTATCCAGACGCATGCCGCCTCTGATAGGCCTCCTTTTTAGGTGATGGGCTATCTCTCTCTTTCCTGTTTACCTTGGAGGCATGCCTGTAATGGACACAGAGGAGACAAGCCTTTTCATATGTGGGGTTATTAGGATATCCCTCAACCAATGGGGCTCCCTTAAAAGTACAATCCACACCAGGTAGTGGTGGCACAAGCCTTTAGTCCTAGTACTCAGAAGGCAAAGAGGCAGGCGGATCTCTGTGAGCCTGGTCTACAGAGCCAGCTCCAGGACAGACTCCAAAGCTACACAGAGAAACCCTGTCTCAAAAAACAAACAAACAAAAAGTATAATCCAGGTAGGGCCAAAAAAAAATGGTTCAATGGCACTTGTCACCAAGCCTGATAACCTGAGTTCAATCTCTGGGAATCCATATGATGGAGGACACAACCAACTCCCTCAAATTGTTCTCTGACCTTCACAAGGATGCAGTGATGTAAATGCACGCGCGCGCGCGCGCGCGCACACACACACACACACACACACACACACACACACACACACACACACTTTTCAAAAGTATAATCCAAGGCCTCAGGAGGCTCAGCAGTAAGAGTTCTTGTTAGATTAGTCTGAGGACCAGAGCTGAGATCCCAGCACCTACATAACAAGCCAGTTCTGGGTATGCCTATAACCCCAGCACTGAGTGGGGAGGAGAAGATAGGAGGATCTCTGGGAATTCTAACCTAGCCCAACCCCCCCCACCCAAAAAAAAAAAAAAAAGTGAGCTCCGGGCTTTTAGGGTGACTGCCTCAATGGAATAAGGTGGAAAGTGGCAGGAAGACATCTGACCCCTCCACTCAAGCATAAGCACATGCACCCACCACATGTGTGAATACAGCACACGGCACACAGAAAAAGTATAACCCAAAGCAGAGGGGAAATTCTGCCAGCACAATATAGTGCTACAAACTTGATTCATTAATGATTATATGTAATTACAGTGAGGTGGGGAAAAGAATGATGGAGAGGAAAAAAGCTGAAACACCTGAGACTGGAAATGACAAATATCACCCAGACTAATACCTGCTGTGACCAGGCACCTAGGTCACAGGGTACTTCCCAGTGAATTCCCAACTCACGGTTTGCTGGGCCTTGGGGACCATGACCTTCTGCTTGGAGACCGAGACCTCCTGTCCCGGGACCTCTCTTCCTTGGAGCTCTTCTTGCTGACATGTCTGGGGGGGTGAGTGGGAGGAGCTTCTTGAGCGGGAATGGTTCTTCACACCCCTTTGCTCGGCTATCACAGAACCCTGAAGCCCCTGGTTACGGTCAGAGTCCCTCACCTATGTCATTAAGGAAGAGAAAGCATCCGTAGCTGTTCAAACAGAAATGCAGTAAAGCAAAGGAGAGAATGAACAATGAGATTCTTTAAAGTGCCGAGAGTAATCAGGATGACTATAGAGCTGCATGGAGGTGTCAGGGCAGGGGTGGGCGTGCCTGAATTCTGTACCCAGAATGCTAAGGTAAAAGGATTGTACATTCAAAGCCAGCTTGTGTTAACATCATCAGACTCTTGTCTTAAAAAAAAAAAAAAAAAAAAAAAAGCTGGGCATATCCCTAGCAACTCAGGAGGCAAAGGCATAAAGATCTAGTTTGAGAACAAACTGAACTATATATGGAAATATTACTGAAAAAAGCCAAGAGTTGCCTTTCGTGTCTGTAATCCCAGCATTCAGGATACAGAAGAATTCAGAATTTTTTGAGATTCTGTCTAAAACAAAACAAAAAAAACAAGATCTCAGCGCCCAGAGCTTCCCAGCACTTGACAATCATAAGCAGGTGAGTTCCAGGTCAGCCAGAACTACATAGTGAATCCTTGTATGAAAAACAAAACAACAAAACCAGACAGCCAGATGTGTCAGGGTACTGTGTTCCTAGCACTGAGGAAGAAGCAGGACAGCTAGAATTCCAAGGTCAGCCAGTCTTAGCTCCATATTAAGATCCAGGTCAGTTTTCACATAATTCATGAATTCCCCTCTACAAAAGCAAGGGCTGGAGAGTCAGCTCAGGAGAGTTAGGAGTACTTGCTGCTCTCCCACAGAGCCTGGATTTGGTTCCTGGCATTGACCCGGTGACTCAAAACCATTTTTAACTTCAGATCCAAAGGATCCAATACCCTCTTCTGACTTCCATGGGCATGAGGTACTCATTGGCATGCACATATGCATGCAAGCAAAATACTCATACACATAATATAAAAAATATATATAAATCTGCCGGGCGTTGGTGGTGCATGCCTTTAATCCCAGCACTCGGGAGGCAGAGGCAGGCGGATCTCTGTAAGTTCGAGACCAGCCTAGACTACCAAGCGAGTTCCAGGACAGCCTCCAAAGCCACAGAGAAACCCTGTCTCGAAAAACCAAAAAAAAAAAAAAAAAAAAAAAAAAAATATATATATATATATATATATATATATATATCTTAAGGAAAAAAATACAAAAACAAGCCAGGTGTGGTGGCACATAGCTTTAATCCTAGCACTGGGTAGGCAGAGATAGCAGGATGTCTGTGGGTTCAAGGCTAGCCTGATCTATGTAAACAGTTCCAGGAAACCCAGGGCTATGTAGTAAGACCCTGTTTCAAAATAAACAAACCAACCAACAAACAAATGAATGAATATAAATAAGTAAACCAAGGGCTGAGGTTGTAGTTCACTCATAAAGCACTTGCTCAGCATATACAATGCCCTGGGTTCCATGCAAGCACCTCACAAAAATTAAAATAAAAAAGTGAGGGGTGTCCTTTGGCCAAAAGCCATTAAGATATATTTCATGTCAATTATTTGCAGTTCTTGGCAGGATGGCAAGTGCTCCAACTAGTGATTTCTCTAGAGGACTCTCAGAAAGAGGCAAAGGTCTCCAGGACAAACAGCAGGCTCGGCCTCGAGCAGCCCCAGCCTCCACTATCCAAACTCCCCTGCTATCTGCAGGTGTCAAGGGTGACAAACAGCATGGTCCCATAGTCACTCCCTTTGAAAAGCCCACATCTCTACCTGTAAGCCATATCCAGGGACTTTGGACAAAACAGGAAAGGAATTTGCCATCTTCTTTTGAGATCTAAGAGATTAAAACACATACACATTCACTGAGAAAGAGAAAGCACATGAGTCCAGTTTGAACCTCTCCTGCTAAGAGAAAAGGGCAGCCTCTCCCAGCACCCAGCTAGCTAGTCCTGCCATTGCTTGGCAGCACCTTTCTCTATTTGGATTGTCTTCGCTAGAAGACAACAGCACAGTCAAGTTTCTGCCGTGAAAAGCCGTGGGCAGAGCGCTCAGCCTCAGCGTCTGAACACAGTCTCCTCTCACCTCGCGCTATTCCAGGGACTAATCGTGAGTCAGCAGCGCCAGAGCTGACTGTCCCTGTGGGAAGACACAGAATGGGCCCACATGGTCCCATTAAGCCATTTTTAAAAAAAGAGGGAGAGAGACTACAGAAAGAAAACCCCTTTCAGTCCCGAGGACTCAAGCTGAGATGAAAGAGTCTCGGCTGGAGTTCAGACCTACGATCTGGGAGACTGATGTCAGCCTATCAAGAGTGCACCAGGAGACACACTTAGCATCTGAGACCTCTCATGCCAGGGGCCAGCTCTGCAGCACAGAAGGCACATCTGCACGTTCCCCACCGAAGCCCCAGTGCCCGGCTGGTGCTCAGCTCCTCCCGTGGGATGGATGAGTGAATGGGGAAGCGGTCTTGCTGAGGGAGGCTGACACCTCTGCTCACCGGCCCTGATGATGCTCCTCCTCGCTGCTGGAACCATCACTACTGGAGCTTCTGTGTTTGTGCTTCTTGTGCTTCTTTTTCTTCTCCTTCTTTTTCTTCTTCTCCTTTTTCTCCAGACTCATTTGCAACTGGGAAATGTCCAGAGCATAACTACATGAGATCCCTAAGACCCATGTTAGCACCTGCTGTAGGGAACAGCTCACATACAAACTGGCCCAGGGCATCGTCAGGGCATCCATGCTGGACACAAATGTACCCCAGACCCCCAAAAAATTCTCTGGTAAGTGAGCAAGGAATCTACTTTTTAAAATTATTATTACTATTACTATTATTATTACTATTATTATTATTTTGAGACAAAGCCTCACTAAGTACCTCTAGCAAGCCTGTGACTCACTGATTAACTGTACTTGCCACTAAGCCTGACAACTTGAGTTCAATTCTCAGGACCACTCACATGCGTTGGCATACCCACACACATGCAGTAAAAAATAAAAAGAAGCCAAGTGGTGGTAGGGGGCACACCTTCAGTCCCAGCATTCAGGAGGCAGAGGCAGGTGGATCACTGTACAAAACTACATAGAGAAACCCTGTCTCAAAAAACCAAAAACAAATAGAAATAAAAAAAAGATATGAAGATACATAGTTCTTTCCTAACCAAAAGGAAATCAGCCTTAATCAAGCTATTGAGTTAAGGTAGCATAAAATCACCCAGAGAACATGTAAAAAAAAAAAAAAAAAAAGAGCCAGGCAGTGGTGGCCCATGCCTTTAAATCCCAGCACTCAAGAGGCAGAGGAAGGTGGATCTCTGAGTTGGAGGCCAGCCTGGTCTACAGAGTGAGTTTCACAACAGCCAGAGCTATACAGAGAAACCCTGTCTTGGAAAAAAATCTTTTTTAAGCCACTCAGGTTGAAGAAGAAGGATTGGAGTTCCAGACTTGCCTGGACTACAAAAATAAGTCCTGTCTCAAGAGCATAGAAAGAGTAGTTATAAACACCAGTCTACTTCCTTTCCTACGAAGAAATGAAAAGATGGCCTGGGGCTAAGAGGCTAAAGGAGAGGCTACGGAGATGACTTGGCACTTAAAAGCATTGACTGCTCTTCCAGCAGACCAGGGTTCAATTCTAGCATCCACAGAGTAACTCACAACCATTCACAACTCCAGTTCCAGAGGATCTGATGCCCATTTCCAGCCTCCTCAGATACCATGAATCCACACAGTGCAGACACTGGTGCAGGCAAACGGACCTCCGACAGCATCTTTTTTTTTTTTTTTTGGTTTTTCGAGACAGGGTTTCTCTGTATTGTTTTGGAGGCTGTCCTGGGACTCGCTTTGTAGACCAGGCTGGCCTCGAACTCACAGAGATCCGCCTGCCTCTGCCTCCCGAGTGCTGGGATTAAAGGCGTGCGCCACCAACGCCCAGCCCCCTCCAACAGCATCTTGGTGCATACTTGATGTATTTACTTACCAACTCTTTGATTTTCTTCATTTTCACAGGGTTGTTCAGTACCTCTCTTTTTTTCTCCTCCTCTTTCTTCCTAAATAGAAGAAAAAAAATTTAATGACTCCTTCTTTTGTAAAGGGAATTATGTTATCCTCCTCTCCAAATTCTATTTAACAAGCTCTTTTTAAAACTCATGCACAGGCCAGGCAGGGCTACATAGTGAGAACCTGTCTCAAGACAAAAACCACACAGACGCAGAATTTACAGTGATGGTGAATTTACAGAGGACGGTGTGGAAGCCAGAACGCTCCCGCAACACACACAAGAGACAGTGCACTGTGGAGAACGTGCTGTGCAGACAGCGCAGTACACGGCAATAAGTTCAATCTGCTTCTCATTCAGCTTCACATTCAAGGCTTCCCCCATGGTTAAGGAGTCAAGTATGGACCTGTGAATCTACTGAGTGCAACATTTCAAAACCAACCTCCACTGCTTGGCATAAAAACAGACTCATCGTCTGGGAAATAAAGACTACAGAAAGGTCCTTTTGAGAAGTATGTGTGTGTGTACACACAATGGTTCTTCTGAGAAGTGAGTATGTCAGTTTGTATACACAATGGTTCTTCTTTTGAGGCGTGTGCGTGTGTGCGTGTGCGTGTACATTGGCGCTGGGAACTGGAGAGATGGCTCAGCAGTTAAAGAGTACTGGCTGCTTTTCCAAGAACCTGGGTTCAATTCCCAGCACACACATGGAAACTCACAACTGGCTGTAACTCCAATCTTCTTCTAGTCTCTATAGGTACCAGGCATGCACATGGTACACAGGTACACATGCTAGCAAAACACTCATACACAAGAAATAAAATTTAAAAATACATAATAAGGAATGTCACAAAGTTTTCAAATTATAACAATTTTGAAAACATGTAATTTGGAAACAAGTTAGAGATTAATAAGCAAATATCAGTGAAGAGTTGGGCATTATAGTGCAGGAGGCTGGGGAGAGAAAATGGTGAATTCAAGGCCCAGGCTACTATCTCAATAAATCGTGAAGTTGGACGTGGTGACACACATTGGAGGGTGAAGAGTTCAGTCATACTCAGCGACAGGGTGGATTTGAGGCTAGCCTGGACTACATGAGACCCTATTCAAACAAAGAAAACAAGCAAGCAAAAATGGCTGGTAAGACGGCTCTGTCAGTAAAGTGTTTGGCACACAAGCATAAGGAGCTAAACTTCCACCTCCCAGAACCACGTAAAAGAGTTGAGTAAGCCAGGTGTGGTAGCACATGCCTGTAATTCCTGCATGCAGGCCAACCAAGGCTACATAGTAAGACCCTGTCTCAAAACCAGTAACAACAGTAAAGAAAACTGAGCAGAGCAGCACATGACCATGGTCCTAGTGCTCTGGAGACAGCAACAGGAGGATCCTGAGGCTTGCTGGCCAGGGTAGATGAATTAGCAAGCTCCAGGTTTGGTGAGAGACCCTATCTCAAGAAAAAGGCAGAGAGGGCTGGGTAGACAGTTGTTAAAGGAACTTGCTGCCAAGACCAACTGTTCACAGGTGGAAGGAGAGAACCAACTCCTAAAAGTATTCCTACACACACACACACACACACACACACACACACACACACACACACACACATGCACACTTGAACATGCACAAATAAGACAGTGACTGAGAAAGACATTGAATGTTGACAAACGCCTCCAAACAGGTAAGCACACACATGCACATATAGACACTAAACACACACATCCAAAACTAAACCAAGTAAAAAGAGCAAGGAAGGAGGCTGAAGGAGAAAGGAATGAAGTCATTTGACTGGCTGTATGATTGCAGCAGGAAAGGTAATGGAGTAGGGGGTTAAGAGGGAACATTTACCTACCTCATAGCCAACTCTACACCAATTTCCCAAATTTCCAAGGAACAAGCAAACACTTGTCATTTTGCTTCTACCTCCTTTTTCATTTTAGTAAGATTTTTATTACCTTTAGTATGTGTGTGAGTGTGTGAGTGTGTGTGTGTGAGTGTGTGTGTGTGTGTGTGTGTGTGTACACGCACATGCAACGTGAGGCACATGAGTGCTAGTGCCCCTGGTGCCAGAGCCTTTGAATCTTCCTGGAGTTGGAGTTACAAACATCTCTAAGCCTCCTGACATGGGTACTGGGATCCAAACTCAGGTCCTCTGCAGGAGCAATAGATGCTCCTAACAACAGAGGTCCCAAGCCTTCTACCTCTCATTTTTATTTAGGGATAAATCTGTTCTGGCTTGAAACATTTGCCAGTATCTTTCCATACGGCCTACATCAGGCACCCTTACAGGAACCCTCACCACCCTGAAGCACAGAGACAGAGCTGTGGAAAGGAGAAGTGACTCTAAACAAGAGAAACACCAACCCGCCCTGGAAGAGCCCCCACGCATCTGTGTAACAACCTTCCTCAGCCCCCAGCAGTACCTGATAATGAAGAGAGGGTCTTCCCGGATTTTGCTGGCCATGTCAAGAAGGGAATTGGCACCTGATGGGGCAAAAATAGAGCCCGGGAGGAGTCCTGTCTCAGAAGAACAGCCTGCTTCCTTTTCCTCCATCTTCTCAAAAACATACTTGTCAATGGGGCGCCCTAGCAGATACTCATCACGGTTTACCATCCCACCAGGACCCTGGTACATCCAATCCAACTTTTCTTCTTTTTTCCTGGTTCAAGAAAAAAAAAAAGATATAAATATAGATTAGACAGATATAGACAGACACTCACAGAAAGAGAATGTAGAGTCCTGCCAAACTCCACACAGAACCTGAGCAGACATGTTGTGGAAAATTATTCTAAGGTGTGTTACATGTGTTCCTGCTGTGGGACATTTGTTTAATGATGCAAAGATGTGTTGGATTCTTTTATGTTGCATTTGTTTAACTATGTGAAGCTGTAATTCTTTGCCTGTCTAAAACACCTGATGGCCTAATAAAGGACTGAATAGTGAGGTAGGAGAAAGGATAGGTGGGGTTGGCAGGCAGAGAGAATAAATAAGGAGAAGAAAGAACAGGAGAGGAGAAGGATCGAGAATAGAAGGGGCCAGTCATGGAATAAGAGTGAAAGTAAGATTACAGAAGAAAAGGAAAAATCCCAGATAAAAGGTAGATGGAATAATTTAAGAAAAGCTTGCTAAAGCCCGGCAGTGGTGGCACATGCCTTTTAATCCCAGCGCTCAGAGAACGGAAACAGATAGACCTTTGTCAGTTCAAGGCCAGCCTGGTCTACAGAGTGGGTTTCAGGACAGCACATCTGTTACACAGAAAACAAAAACAAACAAACGATAAAATACGATGTCTTGAAAAACCACAAAAAAAATATTTACCATTATATGTGCGTATAATGGAGAGGATCATACATGTTGCAGTGTGCATGTGAAGATCAGAAAGGACAACTTTTAGGAATCCGTCTCTTTCCAGGTTCAAGTGGCAAGAAGCCAAGGTTGGGTTTGAACTCCTAATCCTTTTGCCTCTTCCTCCAAGTGCAGAGGTTTTAGGCATGCATAGGCATACCTAGTGGATTCATTTGTGACAGTTTCTTTTTAATGAGTATGTGTGAGTGTATATAAGTGCACCACATGTATACCTGGTACCGCTGGAGGCCAGAACTGGAGCAGGCAGTGGTGAACGGTCTAACATGGGTGCTGGGAACAGAACTTGGGTCCTTTGCAAGAGCATTACAATCTCTTTTTTTTTTTTTTTTTTTTGGTTTTTTCGAGACAGGGTTTCTCTGTGGCTTTGGAGGCTGTCCTGGAACTAGCTCTTGTAGACCAGGCTGGCCTGGAACTCACAGAGATCTGCCTGCCTCTGCCTCCCAAGTGCTGGGATTAAAGGCGTGCGCCACCAACGCCCGGCGAGCATTACAATCTCTTAACCAGAGCCATCTCTCCAGCCCTTAATTTTTGTTTTTTAAATTTTATTTATATAAATGTGCACAATGTGCACAAGGCAGAGGACATGGACATGCTTTGAACTTGGGTTACAGATGATAATGAGCAACTGTGTTGGTGCTGGAAACTGAACCTGTGTCCTCTGCAGGAGCAACAGGTGCCTTTAACCTTGAGCCATCTCTGCAGCCCTTGTTTTGTCGTGTTGTTTGCTTTGTTTGGGTTGTGTTTTGTTTTGTTGCAGGGTTTTAATGTTTTCTAGGCTGGCCTCAAACCAGAGATGCTCTTGTCTAGTCCTTCAGTTTGGTTGGCTGTTGTTTTGGTTTTGAGACAAGAATTCAAAACCTACTTATCCCCCTCCTCTTTTTTTGTTTTTTGTTTTGTTTTGTTTTCTTTTGTTTTTTTGAGACAGGGTTTCTCTGTCCTGGAGGCTGTCCTGGAACTCACTCTGTAGACCAGGCTGGTCTCAAATTCAGAGATCCTCCTGCCTCTGCCTCCCGAGTGCTGGGATTACAGGTGTGTGTCACCACATCCCCTCTCCTCTTAAAGTCCCTTCTACTCTATAGGAGCTGACTGACGAAGGAACTGCCCCATCTTTATCTATTTAATGCAAGGATCCAATGTCACCATCTAGGAACTGCAACCATTTAACACTGTCAGCAAATACTAAAAGAAATACTCTATTGCTCTATAGTGGACATGCTTGCTAGCATGTTTGAGACCTTGGGGTTGATCCCCAGTTCCAGAAAGGGGTTTGAGATGTACAACACTGCACGTATGAGATGTGTCTTCTGTGCACTACATACACAGAAAACATCACTTGAACCACAAGAATGGAGTGAACCATTAAGTCAATGGTGTTTGATTGAGAAAGTCAAAGCATATCATTATACAAAGCATTCAAAGTAGCCAAAGGGACAAGTAAATCAGCTACAAAAGGGGCGTTGCAGGGGGTGGGAGATGGAGGTGGGGGTGGGGTGTTTCTCTGCCAGCTGCCATGAGGTACTGCAGGGTCAGCAGCCTGCTTTTCTGAGTCCTAAATATATTTCTTTGCCCCTCTCTTTTGTCTTTTCTTCTGGATGCAGGCCACACCTAAATATGCTTTCTCTAGCTCTTAGCCTAACCTGTTTCCCAAAGATCCCCTTCCCACCATGTATAGCCCATGAAGCTGACCTCCATGATGGACATTCCCCACTTCTCTGCTCCATTCACCTCCTCCAGGCAACTGGGAGAGCTATAGTTTGTATGCCTTGGTTTTAAACTCTTAATAAATTGTTTGTCCTCAAACTTAAAAAAGTTTTTTGAGCATGGTGACAGATAACCTACAATCCCAACAAGTAGGAGGCTGAAGCAGGGAACCACCAGTCTGGGCAATAATGAGACCCTGTCTGCACTTTTTAAAAACTGAATTTTAAGTAGTTTGCCTGCATGTATGTGCACCACATGTGTGTAGTATCTTCAAAGGCCAGAAGAGGGTATCAGATGTTCTGGAACTGGAATTACAAATAATTAGACAGTTGTGAACCAGTGCGTGTACTGGGAATCAAGCCCCATCCTCTGCAAGACCAACAAGTTCTCTTAACCAACAAACCATCTCACCAGTCCCAAAATTTTTTAAAATTCATTTTTTTTATTTTGGTTTAATTTTTCAAGACAGGGTTTCTTTGTAGAGCCCTGGCTGTCCTGAACCTCGATCTGTAGACCAGGCTGGCCTCAAACTCAGAGATCTATCTGTCTCTGCTTCCCATGCTGAGATTAAAGGTGTGCACCACCACCCTGCTAATTCATTTTCTTGTTCCATTTCTATATTAACACCTGTCTTATTTTCCTTTTGTGTTGTTACAATAAACCACTCTAACAAAAACAGCTTTAGGGAGAGAGGGTCCATTCTGGCTCACAGTTCAAGAGACAGTCCATCATGTCAGGGAATTCAAGGCAGCAGGGCTAACTCAGCTATGCACACTGTATCCACATGGCTCAGCTTGCCAAATCTTACACAGTTCGGGATTGGCAGCACATGGGGTAGTCGTGCCCACAGTCTAGATGAGTCTTCACATACATAGTAACTAACAGAATCAAGATTATCCCCACAGATATACCCAGAGGCCCATCTTCCAGGTGATTGCAGATTCTATCAAGTTTCAAAGTTAACAGTTACCATCACCATTTCCTAAATACATTGTATTTAATTTAAAAGTTCCATAAAACCTCAAACACTTTCTTGAAAGAATGGGATTTTCACCCTACTTAATGTGCCAAGATGCTATGTCTGTGTACTGAAACTAAGTCTCACACACAGCTATGGATGTAACAAATCCCTCTGCTATGAGATTAAGGAAAACCCTATAATATCCCATGGGGGAAATGAGCCACTTTTTTTTTTTTTTTTGGTTTTTCGAGACAGGGTTTCTCTGTATTGTTTTGGAGGCTGTCGGTCCAGCCTGGCCTTGAACTCACAGAGATCCACCTGCCTCTGCCTCCCAAGTGCTGGGATTAAAGGCGTGTGCCACCAACGCCCGGCTGAAATGAGCCACATTTTACCCTGAAGACTTATCCATGAAACATGAACAAGGGGAAGAGCAGAGGTGACTTGATCTCAATCTGTCTGCAGTTTCTATATTGTTCTGATTTAGGAAGGTACTATACAGTGCATCTTCTTTGGTTTGGGTTTTTTGGTTTTGTTTTGGTTTTTTTTGGAGACAGGGTTTCTCTTTGTTTTTTTTTGTTTGTTTGTTTGTTTTGTTTTTCTTTTTTTTCTTTTTTTTTTTCCAGACAGGGTTTCTCTGTTGCTTTGGAGGCTGTCCTGGAACTCACTTCTTTGTAGACCAGGCTGGCCTGGAACACACAGAGATCCGCCTTCCTCTGCCTCCCGAGTGCTGGGATTAAAGGTGTGCGCCACCAACGCCCGGCCAGGGTTTCTCTTTGTAACAGCCCTGGCTGTCCTCAAACTCACTCTGTAGATCAGGCTGGCCTCAAACTCACAGAGATCAGCTTGCCTCTGCCACCTGAGTGCTGAGATTAAAGGCATGCACCACCACCACCCCATTTAGAGTGCATTTTATGCATTTTCTCAAAAGATTCTCCCCTTTCATTTCATGAGATAGGTAGGGTAAATATCTACTAGTACCCTGTATTTTACAAGAAAGTCACCAAAGGGAAAATTCAGCAAGACCATCCGTAGCCACAAGGCTTTTATTGATAAATACCCTATCTACTTATTCCCATTTACCCGACTGGCCCCAAGAAGATGGGCTTCCAATACATTCACAGAGACATCAGGCAGCATAAAGACAATAATTCTTAGTCACAGTCATGAATATTTGTCAACCATTTAGTGGGAACATGGCCTACACTAAGTTGGTTACATATTATCACATCTTTTTCTCAACAAGCCTTACAGAAGTGGGTACTGAGATATCCAAGGCTCCCCAAACCTGCTCTCAGGTACACAACTTAGGACACACCAAGTCAATCTTAGAATTGAGTTGGTCAGGCTCCAACACCCACATGCTGAATCACTTAACCGCTATGCAGCACCTGCGTCGGGCATGCATCAAACACCCCACCTCACTTACTTGACAGCCCCGACATCCTCAGCATAGCGCTGCATCTCTTCCCGAGCTCTCTCCTCTCGGAGTTCCCGCTGCAGCTCCTCAATCTTTTTCCGCTCAGCCTCATGTTTCTGCTCTGCCTTCCACACTTTCTCCACATTTCGAAGGGTCTGCGGGTGCCAGCTCTTCTTTAGATTCTGCGTGGATGAACAGAGGGAGGAAAGACTTCAGAGAGTGGTAGGTGGAAGGTGAGAAGGGTCTTCCCACAATGATGAATTAAGATAATCCCCAACAGGCACACCCACAGGCCAACCCAGTGTAGATGACTCTCATTGAGATTCTCCTCCCGGGTGACTCTAGATTATGTCAAGTAGACAGTTAAAATTAACCACCCCACCCTGCCACACTCAGACTTCCCATAGCCAGTGCTGCAGGCATGCAGAGGCAAGCTAGCAGTGGGGGTGGGGAATGCAGCTTGATGCTACAGTACTAGCCTAGCATGCATGAGGTTGTGGGAAATGTCTTTAATTACAGTTTGAGGGTGGAACACACCTTTTCTGTGTTTCTTTCAAGCCTTAGACTCCACTAGCCATGCGCAAAATGAGAATTATAATAGCAAGGCAGAAGAATAGGGCAAGGAGAAAGATCTCTATTTTGGGTTCCTGAAACAGCACATTCATTCTTTTTTTTTTTTTTTTTTTTTTGGTTTTTCTGAGACAGGGTTTCTCTGTGGCTTTGGAGGCTGTCATGGAACTCGCTCTGTAGACCAGGCTGGTCTCGAACTCAGAGAGATCCACCTGCCTCTGCCTCCCGAGTCCTGGGATTAAAGGCCTGCGCCACCAATGCCCAGCAACATCTTTCTTTTTATTGAGTCCATGTAAGTCTCCTGTGCCTAAACTTGCATGCTTACAATGTACTTGAACCTTTTTCAACTTTCCTTCCCAGGAATTCCCCTTGTTCCTTCCCCTTCAATGAATTCTTCTCCTCTCACTATTCTGCTTCAACCTGCAATCATAGGAAGTTTCCCTGAGGAAGTGGCATCTAAGGATGGTTATAAACGCCTTTAATCCCAGCACTCAGGAGGCAGAGGCAGGTGGATCTCTGTGAGTTCGAGGCCAGCCTGGTCTACAAGAGCTAGTTCCAGGACAGCCTCCAAAGCCACAGAGAAACCCTGTCTCGAAGAGAAAAAGAAACAAAAAAGCTGGTGATGTGGGAAGCACTGTAAGAGGAAATGGCACTCACAATTACAGTTCCAGTGATGAGAAAAAAAGATAGCATAAATAATTCACTGTGGCTGGAGGTGGAGTGCAAGCTAATGGAGGAGGGGTGTACGATAAAGCCAGCTAAGCCCAGACCAAATCTGTTCCGGGCATGTGAAGGTACTGATGATGGCAGGAAGCAAGAACTGAAAAGATGCAGGCAAAGCATGCCCAGGTCAGTTACTACGTGAAGAATGGGTGGGAGAGGCACAAAACTGGAGACCAGGTAAAAGTGAGATAAAATACACACGGTGCCTTGCAGGTGCAATGCACACCATTAGCAAGAACCGTTATGAGTGGGCGTGTACACACACATGCAAGAACAGTTATGAGTGGGTGTGCACACATACATGCAAGAGCAGTTATGAGTGGGTGTGTATACACACATGCAAGAGCAGTTATGAGTGGGCGTGTACACACACACATGCAAGAGCAGTTATGAGTGGGCGTGTATACACACATGCAAGAGCAGTTATGAGTGGGCGTGTATACACACATGCAAGAACAGTTATGAGTGGGCGTGTACACACACACATGCAAGAGCAGTTATGAGTGGGCGTGCACACATACATGCAAGAGCAGTTATGAGTGAGTGTGCACACATACATGCAAGCCAGGGCCTTACTACCTAGCTCAGGCTGCCCTCAAACATGAGCTCTCACTGACTCCACCTCCCCCGCGCTGGAACTAAAAGCATGTACCATCTGCTTTCTTTCTTTACCCTTAACTGCTTTCCCCTGTTACCAGGTTGTTTAATCCTTCCTACATTCTTTCCTTTGAGGAGGACTTTCGTCACCACCACACACTCTCTCTCTCTCTCTCTCTCTCTCTCTCTCTCTCTCTCTCTCTCTCTCTCTCTCTCACACACACACACACACACACACACACACACACCCTTACTTTGTCCTACACAGGTAGGTCCTCCTTTACACTCCAGGGCACAAATGGCAATCAATGTCTGGGGAAATTCTAGATGTCACACCTGAGGGAGAGTCAGTGCTAATGGCATCTGTGGCTAGAGGCCGCTGAATATACAATTTGCAGGACAGCCTCCACCACTACACACAAAGAATTATCTAACCCAAACTGCCAATACCTCTGAGGGTAAGAATTTCTAGACTGGGGAGCTAGAGAGATGGCTCAGCGGTTAAGAGCACTGGCTGCTCTTCCAGAGAGCCTGAGTTCAATTCCCAGCAACCACATGGTGGCTCACAACCACCTTCAATGAGATCTGGTGCCCTCTGGCCTGTAGGCATATATGCAAGCAGAACACTTTATACATGATAAATAAATCTTTTTAAAAAAAGAATTTTTAGATTGGCCAGGAGTAACCCTAGCCCTTTCATCTCAGCACTCGGGAGGCAGAGGCAGGCAGATCGTGTGAGTTTGAGGCCAGCCTGGTCTACAGAGATAGATAGCCAGGTCTACACAAAGAAACCCTATCTCAAAAAAACCAGAAAAATATTTCTAATTAGAGCTTCCCTGTCAAGGATGGCTAGCCTTGGTTGTCAACTTCCATAGAGGAACTGCCTCCAGCAGATTGTGGGAATGTCTGTGGGTGCATCCTCTTGATTGCTAACTGATGTAGGAGTGCCCACACTCTGGGTGGTACCATCCCTGTGTAGGTGGGCCTGAACTGAATAGGAAAGGTAGCTGAGTAAGCCAAGGGAAGCAAGCCAGTAAGCAGCATCCTCCATGGTTTCTGCTCCGGTTCCTGTCTCCAGGTCCCTACTTGAGCTCCTCCATGGCTCCCCTTAACGATGGACTCTAACCTGTAAGATCTAATAAGCCCTCTGCCCTGAAAGTGGCTTTTGGTCCTGGTTTTACCACAGCAATAGAGAAACAAACTAATGCACTGTCCATAAACACAGTTACACGAAGAACATACTAAACTAGATGAAGTACCGGTAATTGATCAAATTAAGGCCACTAGACGAACTTATCCTAATGGATAGATATCTAAACTAATATATTTATTGATTCAGCTAGCGTCATTTTGAGCTCAGTAGTTTTCTAATCTAGGTCTGTGTTTCGTGGATACTTCCACCTATCTTACGGCATTAGTTCCCCACAAATGAACTACACGACTTAAGAGCAGTTGCCACTTAGCCTTAAAAAACTGTGAATACAGAAGACGGCCGCCTTGTCACACAGATCTAAGCTAAGCTGATGTAGGGAATGAAGCACCGATGGATAAGATTTAAAACGGGTGCCTCCAAATGGTACAGCTCAGAATCTGAGACAGTCCAGGTCCAGCATACAACTGTAAACTCGTAGCGAAGAAAAAGGACTATGTCCCAAGACAAGTCTGTGTGCCAAGATCTGCTTCCTTCCGTATCATGAGTCCAACTGCCCCCCTCCCTGACCTCAGATTTCCCCGGCCGAAGCCTCCCCCAATCAGCAAACACAGACACCATCAAACATCTCTCGCCGCACATCTTCCCAAGTCTTATCCCAGTCCCTCCGTGGTCTCAACCATCCGTTCTGTCTCCATGTTTACCATCCCCTTGTGTTGAGAACACGACCTCATTATCAGGGTTACCCACTGCTACCCCCGACTTCCACCGCACCCCGGCCAGTTTCCGTCCCCGGCGCCAGCGGGTCTCGGGCCTCAGTCCTAACAGGCCAGGTCTCCGGCACTTACCAGGTCTCCGCCTCCCATGACGGTGGAGACGTTTCCTCAGTCCGTGGACCTGAAAGACTCAGCGAGGGACAAGAGGATGCGGTCTCACTTCTGAGACCAGCCTCTCAGGACCTAATCCCTAAAGGAACCAGCTCCCCCTTTCCCCGCCCGCTCTAGATCGCACTTCCGGGAGTGGCGTCATATAACTGCGTCAGCGTCTCGGAGCGATGACGTTCAGCGCGAGCGTTAAGTCTACGCGATCCTAGAGTCCTGTGTAGTTTCTGCCCACTCTCAGAGCTTGTGTTATAGAAATAGATATCATCAAACAAAAATCCAAAAGTGGGAGGCAGAGGCAGGCGGATCTCTGTAAATTCAAAGCCAGCCTGGTCTACAAACTGAGTTCCAGGCCAGCCAGAGCTGTTACACAGAGAAACCCTGTTTCGGGAGAAAAAAAAAAAGCAGAGAGAAAGAAAGAGAAAAGTAAAAGGAAAAAAGAAAAGCCAAGATGACATCCTTACTTGCTTTTGTCTTATAGTCCTTTAATTTTATTTTATTTTTTGTACTTGGTACAGGGTCTCTGTATTTAAAACACTGTGTTGTCTGGGAAAAATGTAGACCAGGCTGGCCTCAAACTCACAAAGACCCTCACTACCTGTCTCTGGATGCAGAATGCTGGGGTTAAAGACATGCTATGTTACCCCCATCTTGTGTTTTGTTTGAGTTATTAAAAATTGAAGGACTAGAGAGACGGCTGGGCAGTTAAGGGCACTGGCATGCAAGACATGCATGTCCCTTCGATAGCTCAGCTGGTAGAGCGGAGGACTGTAGTTGACTCCAAGGAGACATCCTTAGGTCGCTGGTTCGATTCCGGCTCGAAGGAGACGATTTATTATTTTAGCCGGGTGGTGGCGCACGCCTTTAAAATCCCAGCACTCAGTAGGCAGAGGCAGGCGGATCCCTGTGAACTCCAGACCAGCCTGGTCTACAGAACGACGATACCCATGCCTTTTCTGAGAGAGGAAGAGGAAGAAGCCATATCTATCTACTAAGTCTTCCTTTCTTTTCAGGGTCCACTGAGCTATAGCCCTAGCCCAAGGATTTTGTGTTAACTGAAACTCAAGAGGAGGGGTATGGTGACTTTGCTTTATTGTTCCCTTAGGAAGATGGAGGAACATGTATTTCAGGACAAGAATGGCTTGAAAAATTATTGTTCATAGCGCAGGCAGAATATTCCAGCAGACCAGTTTAAAAGTTCCTTGATCTTTTTTAGTGATACTGGATCTTACACTTACAGAAATAAAAGAACCAGATGGGAAGGGGGCACCCGGATTTGAACCAGGGACCTCTTGATCTGCAGTCAAATGCTCTACCCCTGAGCTATACCCCCTCACCTTGCTGTAGGCCTCTTCCTTGTCCACTTATGGTGACTCACTCTGAACTGGTTCCACCCACGCTAATGCTCTAAGGAGTTTTGTGTTCTCAAGCCTCGCTTTCTCTGTATATATCTGCTTGACTTTTCTCTTCCACCAAGACATAGGATGGGAACATAAAAGAATGGTAACTGGCTGAAAAGGAGATGGACATCATGAACAGAAAATCCTGTGATTTGGGCTAATAAACACCCCACGTCCTCTTGCTCCCCGCAGCCCCCTAATGAATTAAGTGACGGAAGATGGCTGATGTCAGGTTTTTGTTTTGTTTTGTTTTGTTTTTGTTTGGTTTTAGGACTAAGAATTGAACTCGGCCCCGCGGTGGTGGCGCACGCCTTTAATCCCAGCACTCGGGAGGCAGAGGCAGGCAGATCTCTGTGAGTTCGAGACCGGGCTGGACTGACAGCCTCAAAAACAATAGAGAAACCCTATCTCGTAAAACAAAACATAAAAATTGAACTTAAGGCCTCAAACACGCTAAATAAACTATACACTTAGCATCTAGCTGTATTCCTATGTCTCTGAACCTTTTTCTTCTTTAGACAAAGTCTCTCCGTGTAGTCAATTAGGCCTCAAACCTGCATCCTTCTGCCTTAGCCAAACTCCCAAGCCCACTTAAAATGTCAGGATTTTGTTTGTTTGTTTTTAGAGGGAGTGCAAATAGTCAAGGAAATCATATTATTTTTGAGACTTGATGCAGGATCTCTCTATAGTCCTTGCTGGCTTGGAACCCACTATGTAACCCAGGCTGTCTTTGTAATTGTGGGGATCTTCCTAACTCCTAAGTACTGGGATTACAAATGTGTGTCTTCACACCCAGCTATGGCCCCACTGCCTATTCCTGCTGCATTTTTGCCTTTGTTCATTTGGGTTTGTTTTCTTTTTGTCTGTCTTAAATTACATTTTAATTGTTTGAGCATATGCATGTATATGGGCATACACATGCCACAGAGCGCATATGGTGGACGGTGGACAATTTGTGGCATTCTTTCTACCTTGTGGGTGCTGGGAATCTAGCTTAGGTTGTCACACACAGCTCCCTTCCCTGCTCTTGATGGAAGCAGAGGCCAGCTTCTGACCAAGGAGCCCACTGGTCCCTGGAGAAGTGTTTTGTTGAGGGCTGAGCTTGAGGTACTGAGTGCTAGCTAGCGAGGAAGCTTCACTGCAGAATGCTGGTATTTCCACACTCTAGACCACAGGTTTGACCCCTGGCCCTGCCAAGGGAGGACGGACTAACATGGCCTCTTCTCACCACCCCAGCCTAGAAGGACACAGATGCCCTTGATCTTCTCCCCTCCAAAGGGAAGCTGAGTGTACAGAAACCAACTTGTTCCCTCCTCCCACCCCAGAGAAGAAAAGAACACACCGGAGACACAAATGCAACTTTTAAAAATATAGAATAGTATTGACAGGTCATTAAACATCTGACTTGGAGATTCATGTCAAGGCCTGTGAAGTAATGTCTTCAGAAAATGGGGAATGGGGTGACTTCCCCGAACACTGATGTGCGCTGGCGGAGGGCTGGAGTGTTCCGGCGATAGCCATATCGGCCGTTTAAGCCCGTAGTTATTGTCTTCGGATTGGCATTGTAGAAGTCATGTCCACCCACCTGCTGGATGGAATGCCCTTGGGAGAGAGGAGACTGACTGAGCCTGCAGACAGAATCCTCTAGTCCACTTAAACCCAGTGAGCTACTGTGTCCCCACCCTCACAGCTGGAAGTTTACTCCTCAGAAGCCCTGAGCCCTTGAAAGAAACCAACAGCAATGAAGTCCTGGGGACAGAGATGTCTTAGAAATCTAATTCTGTCCCAAGTGAGTTTACAAGAGGCCTGGGACAGGGACGTGCTGGGTCTGGACTTGGCTCCCAGGAGATGTGAGGACTTTAACCCTTGTCTCTGTCCCTTCTGGAGAAGATAGATGAAATCAAATTGATCACATGATGCAAAGGACTTCATGCTAATCTGTGCCCAAAGGGTAGTGGATTGGGATGGAAAGTTAGTCTCTGCCAGCAAAAGTTAATTTTCCTTTTCCCATGGCTGCTAAACTGTGTATGCTCATGCTTAGGGAGTCAGTGTCTGAGGGAGGGGGGATGCACACACCCACACCCACCCACACACACACACACACACCAGACTTTAGAGTGGATGGAGGTGAAACTGCAACTCCATCTCAGCCCTTCCTAGCAAATCTGTTTTAAATCATGCATGTTGTATGACTTGTACCATGGGATAAAATGAGGATGAGGGGTAACTCACATATAGTAGATTTTCAAGAAATGAACACTAGGGGGCTGGAGAGATGGCTCAGGAGTTAAGAGCACTGGCTAGTCTTCCAGAGGTCCTGAGTTCAATTCCCAGCAACCACATGGTGGCTCACAACCATCCACAATGAGATCTGGTGCCCTCTTCTGGCACATATGACAGAAAACACTGTATGCATAATAAATAAATCAAAAAACAAAACAAACAAAAAAAGAAATGAGTATTAAGTGCACCAAGCACTATTTGCTCATGTATGGAGAGAAAAACCAAGAGATACAGTTCTTGACCTTTTTTTCCCCAACCAGGCCTTGCTGCAGCCCTGGCTCTCTAAGCCCTGTGATACAGTTTTTCCATGGTGGGATCAGATGAGGATGGACAGTGAGAAGGCACTTGCCTGCCCCTGCCCAATTTCTCCTGTTCAGATATCTCTGTCCTTGACCAAAAATGTGGAAATAATCCACTATCCAGCCATCCCTTCCTGTACCGCCACGATCCTGAAAATGAAGAGAAGACTGTCAGTTGGAATGCCTCATAGAGTGAGGTGCAAACTTCCTGGGGGCTTCTTTGGGAAAGGGGAAGAAGTAGAGCCAGAAGAAACTTGGGGGCAGATAAAATACACCAATGATCTGGAGAGGCAGTGTGCCCAGCAGGTGTGGGCTCTGTTGCTACACAGTATGGACCCTAACTTTAGCTCTGCCACTAGCAAGCTATGTGATCATGGGCCAATCACAGAGCTTCTCTGCCCTCGGTTTTTCTCATTAGTAACCAACTGGAAAGCTGTCATGAGATTTCCATGACTTAGTTTAGATAAAAGACCTGTCATAGCCGGGCGGTGGTGGCGCACGCCTTTAATCCCAGCACTCGGGAGGCAGGGGCAGGCAGATCTCTGTGAGTTTGAGGCCAGCCTGGTCTACAGAGCGAGTTCCAGGACAGCCTTCAAAACAACACAGAGAAACCCTGTCTCGAAAAACCAAAAGAAAAAAAAGGCCTGTCATAGTAAAAGCTATATATATATATATTGTTACTGTTTTGTTACACGCTGTGGGTTCTTTTTCTCAAGGGCTCACATAGCTCAGAGGAAGCCTTAAATCTATCTTGTTTCTTGATTTATTTATTTATTTATTTATTTATTTATTGTTTCTTGAGACAGGGTTTCTCTACGTAGCCTTTGCTGTCCTGAAACTGGCTCTGTCAACCAGGCTGGCCTCAAACTCAGAGAGATCTGTCTGCCTTCACTCAGGTTAGCCTCAAACTCAGAGAGATCTGTCTGCCTTTGCCACTCAAGTGCTGGGATTAAAGGTGCATGCCACCACCACCTAACTTTCTCACATTTTTATTCAAATAAAAATACCAAGCACAAGCTGGGCGTTGGTGGCACACGCCCTTAATCCCAGCACTTGGGAGGCTGAGGCAGGTGGATCTCTGTGAGTTTGAGGCCAGTCTGGTCTACAAGAGCTAGGCCTCCAAAGCCACAGAGAAACCCTGTCTCGAAAA